GGAGGCCGGTCACGCTGAGATGGCAGAGAAGCGATTGTCTCCGCAAAACTCAGCTCGGCTCCCGGCCATGTCAGCCAGTCCTGCTCAGGCAACCCGCTCTCGATCGAACACAGGATCAACCTGCCACTCGCTTGAACGATCAGCATGTCTGGCGTGGGGGCGGCAGTGTCCACGCTCCGCTCGGCTTCCAAATTCAATGAAACGAGAACGTGCTGGGCGAACACGTGGAACACGACAAGGCAGCCTGTGACATGACTGCCGACACGTAGGCATTTGCATGGGCGTGTGAATGCGACAAACCCGATACATCGGGTCATCGCCAGAATGCGCCCGCACCTGTAGAGGCCGGCCACGCATAGATAGCAGAGAAATGAAACTGGTCGCACAACTCCGCTCGGCTCCCGGCCACGTGACGCAGAGCCTGCTTGGCAAACGTACCAAGTACCACAAAGCAGCCTCAGGCATGCGTGCTCAGCATGCGCGGGCGTGTGAATGCGACCAGTCCACGATGCGGAGCCATCGCCAGAATGCGCCCATACCAATGGAGGCCGGTCACGCTGAGATGGCAGAGAAGCGATTGTCTCCGCAAAACTCCGCTCGGCATCCGGCCATGTCAGCCCGTCCTTCTCAGGCAACCCGCTCTCGATCGAACACAGGATCAACCTGCCACTCGGTGGAACGATCCGCATGTCTGGCGTGGAGGCGACAGTGTCCACGCTCCGCTCGGCTTCCGAATTCAAAAAAACGAGGCCGTGCTTGGCGAACACGTGGATCACGACAAGGCAGCCTGTGACATGACTGCCAACACGTAGGCATTTGCATGGGCGTGTGAATGCGACAAACCCGATACATCGGGTCATCGCCAGAATGCGCCCGCACCTGTAGAGGCCGGCCACGCATAGATGGCAGAGAAATGAAACTGGTCGCACAACTCCGCTCGGCTCCCGGCCACGTGACGCAGAGCCTGCTTGGCAAACGTATCAAGTATCACAAAGCAGCCTCAGGCATGCGTGCAGCATGCGCGGGCGTGTGAATGCGACCAGTCCACGATGTGGAGCCATCGCCAGAATGCGCCCATACCAATGGAGGCCGGTCACGCTGAGATGGCAAAATAGCGGTGGTCTCCGCAAAGCTCCGCTCGGCTTCCGGCCATGTCAGCCAGTCCTTCTCAGGCAACCCGCTCTCGATCGAACGCAGGATCAACATGCCACTCGCTTGAACGATCCGCATGTCTGGCGTGGAGGCGACAGTGTCCACGCTCCGCTCGGCTTCCGAATTCGAAAAACGAGGCCGTGCTTGGCGAACACGTGGATCACGACAAGGCAGCCTGTGACATGACTGCGAACACGTAGGCATTTGCATGGGCGTGTGAATGCGACGAACCCGATACATCGGGTCATCGCCAGAATGCGCCCGCACCTGTAGAGGCCGGCCACGCATAGATGGCAAAGACATGAAACTGGTCGCACAACTCCGCTCGGCTCCCGGCCACGTGACGCAGAGCCTGCTTGGCAAACGTACCAAGTACCACAAAGCAGCCTCGGGCATGCGTGCAGCATGCGCGGGCGTGTGAATGCGAGACCAGTCCACGATGTGGAGCCATCGCCAGAATGCGCCCATACCAATGGAGGCCGGTCACGCGAACACAGGATCAACCTGCCACTCGGTGGAACGATCCGAATGTCTGGCGTGGAGGCGACAGTGTCCACGCTCCGCTCGGCTTCCGAATTCAAAAAACGAGGACGTGCTTGGCGAACACGTGGATCACGACAAGGCAGCCTGTGACATGACTGCGAACACGTAGGCATTTGCATGGGCGTGTGAATGCGACAAACCCGATACATCGGGTCATCGCCAGAATGCGCCCGCACCTGTAGAGGCCGGCCACGCATAGATGGCAGAGAAATGAAACTGGTCGCACAACTCCGCTCGGCTCCCGGCCACGTGACGCAGAGAAGCATGCTTGGCAAACGTATCAAGTATCACAAAGCAGCCTCAGGCATGTGTGCTCAGCATGCGCGGGCGTGTGAATGCGACCAGTCCACGATGTGGAGCCATCGCCAGAATGCGCCCATACAAATGGAGGCCGGTCACGCTGAGATGGCAGAGAAGCGATTGTCTCCGCAAAGCTCCGCTCGGCTTCCGGCCATGTCAGCCAGTCCTTCTCAGGCAACCCGCTCTCGATCGAACGCAGGATCAACCTGCCACTCGCTGGAACGATCCGAATGTCTGGCGTGGAGGCAACAGTGTCCACGCTCCGCTCGGCTTCCGAATTCAATAAAACGAGGACGTGCTTGGCGAACACGTGGAACACGACAAGGCAGCCTGTGACATGACTGCGACCACGTAGGCATTTGCATGGGCGTGTGAATGCGACAAACCCGATACATCGGGTCATCGCCAGAATGCGCCCGCACCTGTAGAGGCCGGCCACGCATAGATGGCAAAGACATGAAACTGGTCGCAAAACTCCGCTCGGCTCCCGGCCACGTGACGCAGAGCCTGCTTGGCAAACGCATCAAATATCACAAAGCAGCCTCAGGCATGCGTGCAGCATGCGCGGGCGTGTGAATGCGACCAGTCCACGATGTGGAGCCATCGCCAGAATGCGCCCATACCAATGGAGGCCGGTCACGCTGAGATGGCAGAGAAGCGATTGTCTCCGCAAAGCTCCGCTCGGCTCCCGGCCATGTCAGCCAGTCCTGCTCAGGCAACCCGCTCTCGATCGAACGCAGGATCAACCTGCCACTCGCTGGAACGATCCGAATGTCTGGCGTGGAGGCGACAGTGTCCACGCTCCGCTCGGCTTCCGAGTTCAATTAAACGAGGCCGTGCTTGGCGAACATGTGGAACACGACAAGGCAGCCTGTGACATGACTGCGACCACGTAGGCATTTGCATGGGCGTGTGAATGCGACGAACCCGATACATCGGGTCATCGCCAGAATGCGCCCGCACCTGTAGAGGCCGGCCACGCATAGATGACAGAGAAATGAAACTGGTCGCACAACTCCGCTCGGCTCCCGGCCACGTGACGCAGAGCCTGCTTGGCAAACGTACCAAGTACCACAAAGCAGCCTCAGGCATGCGTGCTCAGCATGCGCGGGCGTGTGAATGCGACCAGTCCACGATGTGGAGCCATCGCCAGAATGTGCAATACCAATGGAAGCTGGTCGCGCTGAGATGGCAGAGAAACGATTGTCTCCGCAAAACTCCGCTCGGCTCCCGGCCGTGTCAGCCAGTCCTGCTCAAGCAACCCGCTCTCGATCGAACACAAGATGAATCTGCCACTCGGTGGAACGATCCGCATAGGTATCTGGCCTGAGGAGACCTTGTGCACACATCTCCGCACGGCTGCCAACTAAACACATAAGAATATGCTTGGCAAAGACGTGTAACATCACAACACTGCATGAATAATGACTGCCGTTGCAATACTTTGCATAGGCGATCGGATCATCGCCTGAATGCGACCGCGTTCAGTAGAGGCTGGCCGCAGCAAAGTGGCAAACAAATGGAACTGATCGCACAACTCCGCTCGGCGCCCGGCCATGTATTTCCGCTGCCTCCTCCCTCGGGGGCCGCCAGGCTGCCTGGGCGAGGTTTTCGCTTCTTGCAACACGTCCTCAGCTCCTCGGTTTCAACCTCGGTACCAATTCCAGCGCAGTGTCAGGCTCCAAGGCTTCAGACTTTACGAATGATGGCTCCGCTTTCCAAGGCTGGAAGGTTTCAGAACGCGCGACCACCCCCCCCAGACCCCAGCGCGGTTCACCACACCGAAGCTGGGTTCCCTCAGCTCTTGGAAGCCCTGAGACGCGCAAGCATATTAGGGGTCTGCGCGATCCAGAAGCCGCGATCCCTTGGAATTTGTACTGTGCTCTCGCTCCCGAAATCACGAACCTGTGCAAATTACAACACATGCGCGCTACTGGGGCCCCAACCTTCTATGTAAACTGCAACAGGGGCGCGTTCCCGGGGCAACAACCCCCTACTAAATTACAGCGAACGTGCGATCTCGAGGCCGAGGCCCCCATCCATATAAAATGCTACCGGAGAAAAAAACCCAATCAAACTACTTTTTTGAAGGGCTATAGGGCAATAGGGCTATAAGGCTATGGGGCTATCGAACTGTAGGGCTATAAGGCTATAGGGCTATAGAACTATAGGGCTATAGGGCTACAAGGCTGCCGGGCACCTGGGCACCTGGGCACCCGGGCTCCCGTGCACCCGTGTTCCCCAGGGCACCCAAGCACCCGGGCCCGCCGCCGAAATCTTCGGCACACCTCACCAAACCATATGAATCCGCTAGGACCTTTACAGAGGCAAGCTGTGATTGGGGAGCAACGACGGATGTGGGCTCCCGATGCCACACATCTTTTGAACAAGATTGCCCAAAATGGCCTCGGGGCGGCCCGAATCGGTCCAAGAGAGTTCATCATACCCACCAAGAGGGAGAAACTACGAGGTGGCAAATCGTGAAACAATAACAACCAACCATTGAGCCTGCCCCTCCTTCCCCGTCCGTGTTCCCTCCCCTCCTGCTGATCTCCCCACCCCTTTCCCTGCTCTCTCCCTCATCGCTCCTTCTCACCCCCTCCTGGTCCTCCTCCTTCCTTATCCTGACCATCCTCCTTCTGCTCATCCTCCTGCTCATCCGCCTCCTCCTGCTCCTCCTCCTCCTCTTCCGCCTCCTCCTCCTCCTCCTCCTCTTCCTCCTCCTCCTCCTCCTCCTCCTCTAGTGTACGCAGCTTTTTTCCCCTGCAATCGCGCATGACACGATGGGATCCTCTTGGGGCTTCCAGATCTGCTCTGACACTCGCCGGCGGACAGAGAGCAAGATCAGCGCAGCGGGAAGGGATGGGTGGTGGCGCGAGCGCACCTCCTTCCCTCTTCGTCACCCCCTCTGCCAGGGCGGGGACGGGGATGGGGGGAGGAGGGAGGAGGGAGGAGGGAGGGGGGAGGAGGGGGGGGGGGCGATGATCGAATCAGGCCGCCCGCGCGGTCCTGGCCGTCCGCATTCCCTTCCCTGCCGCCCCCGAAGCTCTGCGAGAAAGACAGCGCGACGAACCTTTGGGCGAGCGCGCGGGGGGGAGGGGGGGGGAGCCGACGCGGGAGAGGCATACCCCGAGCTCCGAGCTCCGGCAAACTCGGGCGCCACGTTTTTCCGAAGGGGGAGGGGAGTGAGAGAAGGGATATCGGGCAAGACTGGCGCCATGACAAGATTGGCTCGGGATGTGTTCCAATATTTCCGAAGTATCTAGCGGCCCTCGTTTTTGCAGTCCGCGTGGGGCGAGCTGTGGGAACTCTAGAAACCCTGGGCACCGGGGACATCCTGGAACATGCCATTATCAAACCATTTTTCCCTAAGAAGAAGGAGCGAAAGAAAGAGAGAGGGAGAGACAAAGAGATAGAGAGAGAGAGAGAGAAACAAACCAAACAGAGAAAAAGGGATATAACCAGACTCGCTGTGTGGATAAGTTTGCGGGGCGACGTACGTTAAGCCGTCACGTGGGCCAGTTAAGTCCACAAGCATTGCACACTGGACGAACTGGGAGAAGGATATGGAATAATATTGTGGGAGACGGGCGGGTAAAAATGAGAAAGAGAAATATATATATATATATAGAGAGAGAGAGAGAGAGAAAATGAGACAAATAAATCGAAAGCGAAAGAGAGAAAGAGAGAGAGAGAGAGAGAAAAAAAAAACAACAACAAAAAACATAAACAACATAAACAGAGAGAGAGAGAGAAACATGAAACATCTATCATTTATAACGGTACAGAAAAAGAAATCGATCATCCCACCCGGCTGGGGGGCACACTTTCGTTTGCTGCCGGTCACCATCGCTTTGCGCTGCGGAGGGCCGCGGGGGGGGGGGGGGGCGAAGCTGAGATGAGGAAGTGTAAAAAAAAGGCCCCTCTCGGGGGCTCGATGCGCGTCTCCGGATGGCGCGCTCTGGTCGACAACGGGGCACTGCTGCACCGGGGGGGGGTGAGGGAGGGAGGGAAGAGATGCGTTCAAAGGACAAGCGAGGGTAGAGAAGGAGCCAAAACTCTTGAAAACAACGTTGCCAATGCTGGGGCCAATCGACCTCTAACACCTCGAACCAGCTGGCTCTCTGGGAGGCCTGGGATGGGAAGATACTTGTCAGGACTGAAAGCGGCGAGCCTGCACGACCATGCCCTCTCGCGCTGCTGAGAGCCATCCCCATGGCTCGTGAAATGGCGCCTTGGACCAGGGCGCTTTACCCGAATGTCAACCCTGCGGAAGGCAGTTCGCGCACATTTAACGCCATCAGAATGCTCGATGCCCCCCGAGAGCGAGACCAGTTCGACACCCAGTAGGACCGATGGACCTCCAAGTGGCGCGCGCCCAATGCGTGGAGGACGAACTGCAGGAAGAGCCCCAGAATGACCCTGAAAGCAAAAGACAGGGCACAAACTTGAAACCCGTGAGATGTACATCGGCTTCGGCCCTGGGGGCAGGGTCGCCCGGGGCCCCAAGCATCGAAGTAGCCGGGCCCGACTTTGCCGGCGCGGAATCCATGGGCAGGGAGGCGCTGCCCCCATGGGGCGCGGGAACCCAGAGGTTCTTTAACCTTAAAATTTAAGTTGCAAAAAAAAAATGATAAAATTTAAGATTATTCTTAAATCGTCACTTTCAACTTAAATTTTATGATCATCGTAAATTTGTGCAGTTTCCTATTATCACCTTAAATTTTCATTGTTTTCCAGCAGCACATGACAAATATGAACAGAGTTGCTGCGCGACGCCTGGTAAGCTCGCTTGCGCGGGCTGGTGGATGTTCACCGACGCAGCTGATGGGTGTTTCTATTGAGCTCTTGTTATGCTATGCAGGTGTTCTTGATTTTTCCTTGCATAATCCAGCGGTGCGCCTTGGACAATCCATCATTCGCCATGGTGCCTTTGCGTCCTTGCTTCATCGGCGTTCGGGCACCCAACGCAGCCCGCGTCCCCTTGCATCCTTGTTCTCGTTTTGACCCTGAATCTCATTCACAGTGTGCCTTTTGACTGTGCCGATGTCATTGCCTGTTGCCGCCCGCTGTTTCCTCGGCTCTGGTGACCGCGGCAGGCTGCTTCCGCGGTTCGCTTCGCAGCCATGTCGTCGCAAGGCCAGCTGCCCCAGGAGTGGCTGTCGTCGGCGCAGTTGCGGGCGCTCGCCGAAGGTGGGAATGGGGGCGTGCACGTTCTGGGTCTATCTTACATGTTGGGGTCCGTCCTCGTGTGCCCTTTTTATGACAATAAGAAATATGTTAACAAGAACTCCGATGGCTCCTGCGGGGCCTGATCCTCATTGTTCCTAGGGTCCGCTTGCAGCACCATTGGATGCATCACAGGTGTGAGAGTCGTGATCTTGAGTTGCTCCCCTAGTGCCCCCCCCCGTCTCACTTCGACTCTACTCCGATGTTGGATCCAATACATTCGTCCTTCTCTGAGGCTTCTCTCTCACGCCCTGCACCTCCGACCCACCTCAGCACCTGCTCCTGCTGCCCGCTGTGGGCCTGTTCCCCTGGCTTTGCCCTTCCTCAGTCTTCGCACGTCGTGCTGCAGCAGTCTCGGTTTCAGGGCTGCGATTTCTTTTCAGGATGTCGTCTCAGGACCGCGTGCGTCGCTCGACGTGCAATGATCCGAAGAAGATCCAGGAGGCGATCTCGCCGTACCTGACGGCGTCCTCATTCGTTGACTTTTCAGGGGCCATGGGAGAAGCGGCAGTGGACCGCGGAGGCCTCGAGGGACATGTCGAGTTAGCTGCCAGTGTCAAGAAAACGTGCGGCACGTTCCTCCTCGGGAAAACTTCGTCTTTATATGCCATCGCACAGACTGTAGTTGACAACCTGAAGTATAACCAGAAGAAGGCCATGCAATATGCCGAGGAGAATAACCCCAAACTCCGCACCCTGCTCTCCCAGTACGCGCGCTTCGAGATTTCTGACAAGCCCCCGAAATGGATGACCAAGCTGCTGGAGGCGGCGGGGAGCTTGCAAAGCAAATGATATGATTCCCAATGGACGGCTGACATGATCATGAAGGATGGGAAACAGGTGGAGGAATGAGGGAGGGAGCAATGAAGGAGGGAGGAATGAGGGAGGGAGGAATGAAGGAGGGAGGGAGGAATGAGGGAGGGAGGAAGGAATGAGGAAGAATGGAATGGGGAGAGGAATGAACAAGTACGGAGGATGACGGAGGGCATGGAAGGAGAGGGAAGAGGAGTAGATGAGGAAAGGAGGGAACGATATTAAAGTTTCGCCCCCTGCCAACCCTAGGCATGCACGGGGCCCATCTACACGTACGGGTACTGCGACCAGGAGATGTGCGCATACAGGGTGAAGGTCGGACAATCCGTGAAGGAGAGGGCGACCAACATGGAGGAGGGCGAGAACGACGACGACGAGGTTCCAAGGGGGCTGAAACAGAAAACGAGTGAGTTAACGTCCGATCGACACTCACACTCGAAAACAATCCCCATGAAACCAAAAAAACCTCCCACTCACCGATAAAACGTACACAAACCCCACAAAACGTACACACGCCCCAAGAAAACGTAAACACACCCCACGAAAACGTACACGCACCCCACGAAAACGTACACACGCCCCACGAAAACGTACACGCACCCCACGAAAACGTACACGCACCCCACGAAAACGTACACGCACCCCACGAAAACGTACACGCGCCCCACGAAAACGTACACGCGCCCCACGAAAACGTACACGCACCCCACGAAAACGTACACGCACCCCACGAAAACGTACACGCACCCCACGAAAACGTACACGCACCCCACGAAAACGTACACGCGCCCCACGAAAACGTACACGCACCCCACGAAAACGTACACGCGCCCCACGAAAACGTACACGCGCCCCACGAAAACGTACACGCGCCCGACGAAAACGTACACGCGCCCCACGAAAACGTACACGCACCCCACGAAAACGTACACACACCCCACGAAAACGTACACGCACCCCACGAAAACGTACACTCCAAGAACACCCAGGTAGACGTCAAGACCAGCCCCGGCCAGCCGGTAAACATCAGAACTCGCCTCCAGCCTCCATGCAGACCCGCCTTTCCAGAGGCCCAGCTTTCCCAATCCTCACCTCCTCCATCCTGCTCACCTCCTCCATCCTCCTCCTCCGTCCTGATTTGTCTGCGGATCCGAATGTGATTGCAGTGTTCGGCACGGGCACCGACAAGGAGAAGCGGCCGTGCCCTGAGGTGACGACTGCTGAATTCCGCAGCGTTTCAAAACCCAAGTCAGCAGGAGGTGGCAAATCTAAGCACTTGTACATGGTGGATCACGCATCGGACGGAGTGGCCGTGGTCAAGTTTCGCTACGACAAGCCCGTCGGCAAGACGGAAACGAACAAGCTGGTCGTGGTTGAGCATCGGAAGGCCGACGCATCCAAACGACAGGTCACGCAGCACGACGTGAAGAACTTCGACAACGAGACGGTGGCCGTGGAGATTGCACAGAAGTTGTGCGACATCTTCGCCAAGGGCGAGCTCGACAAGTTCGGGATCAAAGAGATCCAACGGAAGATGCTCAAGGATTGCGACGCCTGCTCGCTGTACAAGGTCAAGGACGACGGCGAGAAGGACACCACGGAGAAGATCAAGAAGGACAAGACCGCCATGAAGCGACCAGCTGCGGCCGCAGCCTCGGAGGACTCGGACGCCCAGAGCCAGAAGGTGAACGTGGAGAAGCATGCTGCCAAGGGCGAGGGCGACGAGAGCAGTTCGGATGAAGGCTCAGCCCCGCCGCCCTCTAAGAAAGGAATCGCCGCGATGAGCAAGAAGGAGATCATCGAGGACGGCGGCGCCGACGCCAAGGAGAAGATCACGCCCACGCTGAAGGGCAAGCGGGCTGCGACGGGTTCGGCGCCCAAGTCGAAGGCGATGGCCAAGCCTGCCGACGCGTCCGAGGACAGCGTGGACATCACCCCGCAGAAGAGGCCGAAGATCATGAAGAAGCCGTCCACCGTGGAGGAGTGCTGCGACGACGGCAACAAGTACGATGACGATGGCGAGAAGAGCGA